TGTTTACCTGCTGACTTCATCTGGTCTGGATAGGATCATTAAGGAGGAAAGAGTTAAAAGCTATGTTGAAGCGATTATGAATGATCCTAGAGGACAGAAGTCGTGCCTGACTTTGGAACCAACCCGTACTATTACTACAGAGTTAGACAAAGGTAAAGGGATAGTGTGAAACATCCCAGAACCATGTATAGGATTTTTAAGGACTTAGAATAATTTACAGAGGTTCAGAGAATGGTCGTAAGAGGGAGGAAATGGTCTTTAGGTAATGGAAACCTATAGACCGGCCCGCGAAAAGATAAACGGGCCTCCTATAATTAAAAGGGGAAAGGAAACCATAATTTTTCTTTAGTGGTGAAGAAGGAGAAGGCTAGTGGGCTTGGCCCGTGTAGTCAGGAGGTGAAGAAAAATAAAGAAAGTGAATATTTTGTCGGGAGATTTTCGTGGGGTATAAATAGGGACCTAGGGAGCTTATATTTTACACACCAAAATCATTCTTCTCTTCCAGAGTCAAAGAAAAACGCTTAGGAATGAAGAATCAGAGGAGCTTGAGAAGGAACTCAGCACTCCAGCCCCGCGGTAGAGAAGGTTCACGGTTGAGGTAAGGCGCGATCCGTACCTAACTTTTCTTTCTAGTCTTTTCTATATTGCTTTCATAGGGTATTTAGGTAGTCATGGGTAGTAGTCGAGGAAGCTTGGTTAGGATATGGGATCCAGACTAGAGACTCGGCAAGAGTAGAGTAGTGGCAGTATTCCACTTGACCAGGTCAAGCACGAGAGTGTCTCGTGGACGGCGAGGAGATGCAATATAGGCACAGAGGGTTGCCGCATACCGTTAGGCCACCGGTCTGGATGCATAAGGCCTTATTGGTGGAAAAAGATCATCGGTAAGGTCTCGGGGTGCCCCGATGAGAGTCTCAATCTAGATAGTTGTGCTACGTCTCGATGGGTATCGGCATGGCCTCGGGGTACCTCGATTACCTTTGACAAAGCACTAGTACGGGTAATGTACCGTACCACGACAGGCGGCATAACCGCACCATGAAGAGCGGCTTAGGGTGCGCTAAAAAGGGCATCATGTTCGTCACGGTGAATCCTCGTGCCGCAAAAAAATCGATATAGTGATCGATAGCGCCACGGTGGAGCCTTAGTGAATAGAACGATGGTGCCTAGATAGAGTATCGCCAAGCACATCGCCGGACATAGGATCGGACCGGCAAGCCAAGGCTTGACCGATGGTGCACTGGCAAAGCATCCGGTTGGATCAGAGAGGATCAAACTAAGGGCTCGTAGGTGAAGGCAGGCAAGGAGTTTGGCAAGGTTGGGAACCTTGACAAGATACTTAGTCTATTCACGTTGGACTATGGGTTAGGATACATGCGCTGCGAGCTCCGGCATGGAATTCAACCATAGTCTCGAGGAAACTTGATCGGCCTTGGTAGATCAAGAGTGATTCGTTGCTTGGTGGGTTGAAGGAAGGTTGTGGTTTGTATGGGCGGATCACAGTTGGAGATCAACTCACAATCATATCGTTAAGTCTGTTTAGGAAGTGAGTCTTGGCTAAGCTATACCCTACTAAGGGAGCTACCTTGGGCCGAATGAGAAGTTAGTCCAGGAAGCTGAAAGGTAGAAAGACTAACTGATCGTTGAACCTTAGAAATAGAGCTACGGTAGAACTACCGCTCCAAGGAAGTAAGTTTTACCCGATGGTTCACTTGTTTGTAGGATCCGACAGTCTACTAGAGATTGTTGTGAACGAGGCATGAAGCTATTAGGATAATCAAATGGTTATACTAGTACTACCTTAGCTAACCCGACGCATGATTGTAAGTAAGGTCTGGTGAGAGAAGAGTCAAAAAGGGTTTGATGAACTCAAGTCAGATGGCTTACGGTCAAGGGGATAGAGGATAGACATGAGATCACTTGGACGGTGGTACAAGTTGGTGTCATGAGCTATCCACAATTAACGGATAATCTTATGTATGTATTTCTGTAGGGACGGCTACCGTGTGGCCTTAGATGTGTCATGGATAACGTTATGGGATAGCCATGCTTACCTGGGGTGGACCATACGGGGCAAAGGGTATTGATTGAAATGTTTCAGCTATTGTTTGAGAACGTAGAAAAAGGAATAGGGTGAATGGATAGAGAATTGTTGTGAACCTTAGGAGAGTCTAGAGTAGAATGCATACTAACTGGTAGGATAGTAGGTTCACAAGGCCACATATACATTACTGCATAGGGGCGTTTGTATGGGCATTCGTCGCCGACTTGTTTGTGTTTAGCCTGAAAAAATGGCACGAAGAATTGGTAGACAAGAACTACCGGAAGGGCTCCGGGAGTCTATGGAGGTTCGCCCTACGAGGAAGAATATGTTGTAGAAATTCTGTTGACGAGCAGAATATAATGGAGGTTTAGGCAAGATCAAAAATGGAATAGGGTTCCTCTATCTTGTGTTGAATAGTGGAGCCCAGGGCTCCCGTATATATATATATTATGTAAATTATGGAAGTTCGGGCAAGATGGGAAGAGGAATGGGATTCCTCTGTCTTGTGTTGAATAATGGAGTTCGGGACTCCCGTATATATATTAGTAGTAAGGGAAGTGCGGTAGCGCTTACTTGGTCATTGGGTAAACGCATGGTGCCAAGGCATCATGTGGTAGTAGTATGGTAAAGGGTAGATAGGTTATGTTAGGTCGTGAGACGGAGTAGACCGTCTTACTGAGTATTCAATACACACCCCCTTACCACACTTGCAGGATAGGAGATCCGGTTAGGTGGCTCAAAGGATGCGGCAAGGCAGGAGGATGCGGCAGATGCGGTAGAGGCTTTCCCAAGGTGTGGTAGTTTTAGAGTTCTCCGCATTGTAATTTTACTGCACAATGTAATAAAGAAGTTTTAGAGTAATGAGATAACTGATTTGGCAATATTTTACGGTGGGATTCATAGTCCTTGATGCGGGTGTTACATAGTGTTTGGCTATGGAAGTTTGGAGACATAAAACAAGGAGATAGTAAAGCTGAAAAAGAGGGGGAAGATTTTAAAGGATGCCACTGATAATGGAATTGCTAACTCTAGAAAGGTTATGAATGAAAAGCTCCAATCTGATTCAGACTTGGCTATACTTGGCCCTTCTAATTATTTTTATGATTCTCCAATGGATAAGAGAATTGGCTTCTCTGAAGCTGGTTCTTCCGGGAAATTTATGAGAAAGGGCAAGCCTAGGAAACGCCCCCATATGAGTAGAAAAAGACCTAAAGGTCTGGAAGGGAGTGATCAAGCTGGATCTACTGGGAAAATCTAGGAGATACAAGGGAAACAGTGGTGAAGAGGAAAGCTCGAGGGGAAGTTGAGGGTGTTGATCATGAGGCTCAACGCCTCAAAATTAT